AAACTCTAAGGCATCAGATTGGAGTCTGTGCTGCCCTTGGCTGAGTTTGGCAGAGACCCTCAAAGGTGGAGGGAAGAAGGGGCCTGGGACCCTGCTTCCATTAAGTAAAGAGAGGAAAAGGCTGTTGCTCTATAAAACCTATCAGATTATGGCTCTTCTCGGAGGTTAAAAGTGTGTTCTATAGACTCTTCTAAAAGCATTTCTTTAGAAGGGTTTTTGAGCATAGTTAGTGCATCATCAGTCACGGTGGTTAGGTTATGCGTAGTAAGGAGCAACCCTCATACCCCCATGGCTTACCACACCTCTTCATTGTCTGATGGGCATTGGCTATGAAGCTGTATTTGTCCTGGACTTTCAGGGACCCAGGCTGACAGACGCTTCATCTCGACACATGCTTCCATGACTGTAAGCCAAGGGACGAGAATGGGGGCAAATCCGGCTTTTGTTTTGTAATGACACACGCCGCTTCTCCTCAAATGCATTGGCCAAAAAAACAAAAAACAAAAAACAAAAAACAAAACCAAGTGACATGGCCACACCGAACTTTAAAGGGAGCAGGAGAGTTCTATCCCCCTACATCCTTAGGAGGGGCTCCAAATATTACAGGTATAGCACTAATGACACTGTGGGGGCCCAGGCTTTGGGGTAATTGCTGAGAACTAGGGGTTCAGGGGCAGTGTAGCATATTTAATAAAATGTTTTTTTGAGCACAGAATTGGTAGAGATCGAGGTTTATAATAAATTACTGTGTTATCCCTCATTCTTCTGAGCTTTGGTTTCTCCATTCATAAAGTTGCCCTGGGCCCCTTCTAGAGGCATATTTTTGTTTTAAAATTTAAGTTTGTGGGGCACCTGGGTGGCTCAGTCGGTTGGGCATCCGACTTCAGCTCAGGTCATGATCTCGCGGTCCGTGAGTTCGAGCCCCGCGTCAGGCTCTGGGCTGTCAGCTCAGAGCCTGGAGCCTGTTTCAGATTCTGTGTCTCCCTCTCTCTCTGACTCTCCCCCGTTCATGCTCTCTCTCTATCTCAAAAATAAATAAACGTTAAAAAGAAATTTTAAAAAAAATAAAATTTAAGTTTGTAACTTAAAAAGCAGAGCCTGTATCAGGGAATTTCAGCTCTTTCCATCAATTCTTCACATCTTATGTCAGACTTGTAGGGATTTCCTTTTCTTTGTGCCTTGGGGCGGGAGGAGTTTGGGAGTGGAGGGTTCTAATGGAGGCAGAGGTGGGCGAGGGGCAGCTGGCGGTGGCAGGGGTGGGGTGGATGCTGACCTCACTCTAAGCATCCACGTACCTGCTATTTTTACAGGAGACACGGTCTCTCCTCCTCAGTAGCACATGCCGCCTCTGCACGGATGGCATCTGAAACGCTCCCAACAGTGTCCCTTTGTAATAGGTGAAAACACCATCTTTCCTAAAGTCTATAAAAGCTCCTTGTTTCCACTGAGCTGCATGTACCAAGGAGAAAGCATGTTTCAGCTCAAGGAAGCAGCTATTTTTATCAGATACTGCCTGACACCGTGGACGACAGAGACATAGCCCCGCGAAAGGGTCGTGCTGTTTGGGACTTCCATTGCAAAATTATAGGGGACACCTTTTAAAGAAAAATGGAATCTGAAATATATTATTTTGGGGGATAGCTACAGAGAAATTAGATGTAAATTTAGGGTAATATATCTTAGTGTTTTTTAAAAAAAACTTTCTCTTAAAGTAGAATATCTACACAGAAAAGTACACCTTTTGATGGTGTTTGATTAGCTCGTACACCCACGTCATACATGCACATAACCAGCACCCGGACCGAGAAGCTGAACTTGGCCGGCACCCCAGAGCCCCCCGCCCCCCCTGGCTTGTGGGTTCTTCCATTTGCTCTCCACCCTCCCCCCGACACCTACCAAAGAGGTACTCTTCTGACTTCTCGCATTGCTTTTGCCCATTTTTGTACTTTATATAAATAGAATCCTAGTCTGTATTCTTGCATGTCGGCCTTCTTGTCCTCAGTGTGTGAAATTTATTCAGGTTGTAGTCTTTCATTCTCATTGCTGTATGGTATTTCATTGTGTGATTCTACCACACTCATTTCTCCATTCTGCTGTTGACGGGTGTTTGGATAGTTTCCCGTTTGGCCCACTGCAAATTATGCTGCTATAAACAATTTGGTACCTGTGTTCTGGTGAGCATATGAATGCATTTTTGTTGAGCATGTGCCCAGGAGTGCGTTTTTGGGGTCGCAAGGCATGCATATATTCACCTTTTTTTAGGTAGCTTCAAAGAGCTTTCCGAAGCACGTAGACCAGTTACTTCTCCAGCCAGCAGCCAGCAGTGCGTCGTAATTCTGGTTGCTCCGTATCTTTGCCATCACTTGGTATTTTCTTCCTGGAAGCTTTCCTTTTAGGAAAGAATCCTTATGAGATTCTTTTTCCATCTGAGCTGATACCTTCCCTAATAAACACATTTAAAAAAAAGAAAGAGGAAAAATAACTCCACTTTTTAGTAAAGAAACGCACTGATGCTGTGGCACAGAGAGACTCCGAGGTCCAACACTGTACCTTGTCCTAGGCGGGAGCAAGCCTGGGGCATTTATCTTATGTGGGAGGACCCGGAACTCTGAATTTTTCTTGAGTTACTTTGTTATTTATTTATTTATTAAAAAAAATTTTTTTTAACGTTTATTTCTGAGAAAGAGCATGAGTGGGGGAGGGGCAGAGAGAGAGAGGGGGACACGGAATCCGAAGCAGGCTCCAGGCTCTGAGCTGGCAGCACAGAGCCCGACGTGGGGCTCGAACTCACAGACCGCGAGATCATGACCTGAGCCGAAGTCGGACGCTCAACCGACTGAGCCACCTAGGCGCCCCTCTTGAGTTACTTTAGAGTGATCTACCAAGATAAAATGTAAGACAGTGACTTTCTAAGAGGAGATACACATTAAAAATTTGAAGCAAAGTTATTTAAGCCTTAAAGATGAGTCTCCTGTACAGACACGGGCACCCTCCCCACCCCCGCCAAGAAGTATTTACCTCTGATTTCCAGTGTTGCTATCTCCTCTTCTCCCACTCAGTTTTCACAAAATGATTCCATTTGCTTCCCTCTGCTGTTTTTTCATGAGGATGTCTAGCTTATGGAAATCTTCTTTAGACAGAGGCACGTGTTTTGTTATATATGTAACAACGGCCACATTGTTTACATTTGTCCAGTGTGTCGGGGCTCTATTGGCTGATGCCATTTCGTAACATTTGTTGTCATTTTCTTTGTGGAATACAAAACTGATGGAATTCAGAAATAATGTAGACACCTGGGGTGGTCTTTGGTTGTCGGTACAGAGTAATAGGCGGATGGGGACCTGCTGGTGGAATTTTGTTTGCAGACTTTCACTCAGATGAGTTTGGAAACTAAGAAGACGCATCACAGAGAGAGGAAAAAAAAATGAGTGTTTTGTGTGTGAAAATGATGTTGGCTGTTACTTTAGTATTGAAGTGGCTGAATAGACCTTTTCTTCAGTGATCTAATTTCTGAGTGTTTGTTAAACCTCTCTGGGCTTAAGGGGATACCCGGAACATTCTAGCGTGTCCTTACTTATAAATACTCAATTGACTGGGTTCCTAAAGTCTTAGTGATCATGTGTTTCTGCAGATGAACTGTCTCCCCCAAGCTGTATTTTGACTTTTGCCTTTCAGAGCACCTCGAGTCACTTGGAGGTTGCTTGTGTGTTTTTGGGGGTTACCATTTTCTTTAAAGTGACCTGGCCATTCTTCACTGCCAGGTGGCCCCTCTTCCTGGGTACTCCCGTGTGTCTCCGAACATAATACTGCATCTGGCTGCCTTGAACTTCTTCCACAACCCTAGTTGTGTCATTGCTGCTTGACTCTGGCATAGGGCCTTGGGATTTGGGTCACAGCAGTTCACTGGGGGCAGGGCTGTTGTGCCTTCCTTGGCCAGTAACGTCCCTTGGCCTCATTCCCACTCTGGAACCACACATCCCTCTCTGGAAACTGACCTTTGCTTCATAGCAACCCTGTTAACTAGAAACTAAGCTCTTTGTGTAGGATTATCACATATACAGGCGTCTTAATTTGGACTGCTATAACAAACGGATAAATAAATAAACAGGTGGCTTATAAATGACAGACGTTTATTTCTCACATTCTGGAGGCTCGAAGTCCAAGTTCAGGGTGGCAGC